AGTATTCCATCAAGTATATAAACCACAACTTCTTTATCCATTCATCAGTTGATGGACATTTAGGCTCTTTCCATAATTTGGCTATTGTTGAAAGTGCTGCTATAAACATTGGGGTACAAGTGACCCTATGCATCAGCACTCTTGTATCTCTTGGGTAAATTCCTAGCAGTCCTATTTCTGGGTCCTAGGGTAGATCTATTTTTAATTTTTTGAGGAACCTCCACACTGTTTTCCAGAGTGGATATACCCGTTTGCATTCCCACCAACAGTGCAAGAGGGTTCCCGTTTCTCCACATCCTCGCCAGCATCTATAGTCTCCTGATTTGTTCATTTTAGCCACTCTGACTGGCATGAGGTGATATTTCAGTGTGGTTTTGATCGCACTTTTAATAAGATAATGGGAAGCAATATATACCATCAAAAGGTTAGGAACCAAAAAAAAAAAACGATATTTAGACACTGTAAGTACGAGTTCAAAAATATGCCAAATTAACACACATAATATATCAGCCTTTTTGGCCTTAAAAATACAAGCAGGGGTTTTGATACCCCCACTCTTTTTTCAAGATTGACCTCATTTTGCATTATATAAACATACTCTCTGGCTTGATTTATAAGCAGAGGAGCAGAGCCATTGCAACTCTAAGTTGGTTGGATAGATATGTTGCCAGCCATGCATATGTGTACATGGAATGTGACTAACTGATACAAATCTGAAAATTGGAATAGTTCTATAATAATTCTGCTGATGCAACCTCAGGCTGAGTCTCTACTACATGTATAGTTATTGAAATTCAGGCCTGGAATGATTTTAATACTAGATCAATGAAAGTGCTTCTCTGTGCTTGCTTCTGGTTCTTTCTACTATACATTGACAAAAATCCCTGTGAGAGATTGCTGGGTTTATTTTGCAGTTGTGGGGCTCCGTTGCTAGATAGCTGTATGCTTTAGCTGCATTGCTGGGCTGAGCCATCCATAATTCTGTCATAGTGGTATGAATCTGAATTATGCATGGGGTCGGCACATGCTGGTATCTGGAGAAAATTAAATGCATGAAGCACTTGTTACCTCACATTCTCCATAAAGAAGCCTTCAGTATCTCTATAAAAAGTGGACAGAAAAGCTCTTTTAAAAGGTATAGGATCCAAGTTTGTAAAGGAATCTGGTATTTTTTAGGGGTACTTATTGAATCCTTGTATAAAGAACTAGTATTTGAAAACAAACTCTTGAAAACCGATTGCCTCCTCACTCATTTGCAAGACCTAAGTTTAGGAAACTGGGTTCATTAAAAGTATTTATCACACATGTTTGTGTGATCACATTTCTCTAGAAGAGAAATTTCCTGTTACTCTTGTTCTATTCCAGATACTTGTAGTAGGAAAAACATCTCTCTCCACCAGAAGTAATGATATCATGATGTATTTATTTCAAATTTAAAAAAATTTTAATGTGTGTTTATTTTTCAGAGAGAGAGACAGAGTGTGAGAGGGAGAGGGGCAGAGAAAGAGAGAGACACAGAATCCGAAGCAGGCTCCAGGCTCTAAGCTGTCAGCACAGAGCCCGACGTGGGGCTTGAACTTACGAACTTTGAGATCCCGACCTGAGTCCAAGTTGGGCACTTAACCAACTGAGCTACCCAGGTGCCCCTCATGATGTATTTTAATATATCATGTAATATTTGGCATCTCAAAAAAGTGGGTGCAAAAAGTGTTTAGAGTCCATCTTTTTAAAGTTGTTTACAATATAGTTTGAGCTGGAGTTAGATTTGCTTTATACCTTATTCTACAAATGATAATATATTCACTTTAAAAATAAAGCAAAGCTCAGTAGTGGTAGCTTCATTGCACTAAAAGACAACTATAAATAAGCTGAAGAAGGAGTTCCAGTGATAATGTGCACTTCTCTGTCCAGAGAGAAATAAATTCAGCAGAGACAGTGGCCATTGGAATGATCCATCTATGCCTGCATTCCTGGCTAGTCCTTAGTAGTATGGCTTCAAATACTAAAATTTTGAACAGAAACTGTGCAACTTATTTAGGCTCTTAGGAGAAGGGAAGTATTTTTGTCTAGTCTGTTTTACTGCCTAATATCTGGATTGAGATTTATATATAAACAAAATAAAATTCTACAAATACTTATCCATGTACAATTCATTGAAGGACAGGACTATATCTTATCTTCATGTCCCCCCAGTTGTAGCAGGAGACTTTATGAATGTTTGTTGAGTGAATACATAAATGAATGAAAAGCAAAATAACATTTGAGTACCTACAACACATTAGTACTATCAAATATGAATAAACATTTAAACTCAATCCCTCTGCCTTTACATTGATAGTATACTTGCTTTTTTTAAAAAAATTTTTTTTTTAACGTTTATTTATTTTTGGGACAGAGAGAGACAGAGCATGAACGGGCGAGGGTCAGAGAGAGAGGGAGACACAGAATCAGAAACAGGCTCCAGGCTCTGAGCCATCAGCCCAGAGCCCGACGCGGGGCTCGAACTCACAGACTGCGAGATCGTGACCTGGCTGAAGTCAGACGCTTAACCGACTGCGCCACCCAGGCGCCCCGATAGTATACTTGCTTTTAAGATGCTACAGTTTAGGCACTGATCAAATGTTTATCCAGTGTTACTTTTCATTAGAAATTGTTTAAAAGTGAATGATAATATATGAAAGTAAAGACAAAAGAATTATCTATACAGTGAACTCTAGAGACTTACATCCTTACATTTATATTAGCAAAGTCAAGTTGATGTTCCTTGCAAGAGATTTAAATACAGGACAACCTTGTTCTGTGCATATTCACATAATGTGGTTTTTATTTTATGTAGTTAATAAATGATTTTATCTCTGGGTTAGTTAACAAGAGACTTAATGATAGAGAAAAAACTAAGGGTTGATGGAAGGAGGTGGGTGGGAGATTAGCTAGATGGGTGATGGGGACTAAGGGGGGCCCTTGTTGTGATGAGCACTGGGTGTTGTATGTAAGTGATGAAATAACTGAATTCTACTCCTGAGATCAATATTGCACTGTATATTAACTAACAAAATTTAAATTAAAAAATAAATATTTGGGTTTAAAAAACATGACTTTTTAAACGTTTTCTATTGGAGACATAACTATTTTCAAAGAAAGTGAAGAAATAGCTACTGAGCTGACATTCAGTATTTCAATTTGAAAACATCTTTTGAGTTTGAGTATCAGTCAATTCTCAATCAGTCTGAATTAAAGGAGCACAGCAAAGATGAGAATAAAACAGCATTCAACCAAAAATTAATTCATACTTGTCTTTACAATATGTTTTTACTATCACATTCAAGGAATTCATTTATGATATTCTTAGAATACACTTCAAAAAATAGTGAAACCTCATATGAAGATAAAAGTCCTTGGGAAATTATCCAATTTCCCCTATCTTTCCTCCTTTCTGTCTACTCCATGTTGGGAATCAACGTGCAAAAACAATGATTTTTTAAAAAATAAAGAAGTTAAGACATTGCTTTATTTCTTTTGGTTGTATAATTCTAAAAATCTGGGTTTTATTGATAGTTCTAATGCAATTGACTGTCATTTGACTGATCTTACCAGTCAATTCAGTTAAAATAGATTCATGTGTTCTGCCTTATAGATTCATGAACAGGAGGTTTTCTCTTCTCTCTCTAGGGGTGAGTAAACATAGTGTGATATGCTGTCAAAGTTAGAAACTAAAGAAAGTATATGTGAATACCAATAACCTCAAAAACAAGTCACATTTCCAATAACACAATTTCAGATAACAGCGTGGCTCCAAAGAATGTGCAAGTGTTAAGGAAAAATGACAAAAATGGTAACAGCCTATCTTCAGTCTTCTATCATAATTAATGATTTTTTTCTTAAGAGACAGCACCTCTCTGCACTATTTAATATATAAGAACATTATGATCCCAAAATTCTAGTGTAGTCCACATTCTACATGGACAAGTATCTCTGTGTGAGTCTTTCATTTGGTGGGCTCTGATAGATATCTGGAGTGGCAGCATAGCAGCTGCCTGAAGATTGATGGAGAACTGCTAGGAGAATGGAAATTAACTCCACAGTGTGTAGATATGTATGTGTTTTTAACAAGCGCACCAATATCATGGAAGATTAACTGTTAATTTAAGCAACTTTCCTTGCAGAGGTTGTGTGGAAGAATAAAAGCATATATAATAAGAATGAAAAAATTACACTGCTCCTCGAAGTAAATCGTAGGAATAGTGGATGAAATTTTTATAACAGGAGACAATTTTTGTGAGAATATAGTTTTGAAATTACATAAGTAATGAGAAAGTACTTGATATATATCCATGGGTAGATCATTTTGGGTTAAATGCATCTACTATAGAAATCAAGGTTAAGCTATGTATGTACATTGGGTCGTTTATACATAGAAGTCTTTTGTATGAGGGATCTACTTTTTATTTTTTTGAAACCCTAAGATCAACAGGGGAAGATTATTGATACTGATAATGGAAAAAAGAAAATGTGCCAGCAGCTGACTGCTTACCACACCCAGTTTGAAACGCTCATGAATAACAGAAAGAGCCACTGCAGTCAACCAAAGTGTGCTTACTAGCATACATTCAGATGAAAAGTGAAACAAGCAAGGAGATATTTAGATATTTTATCTATCACACACCGGGTTCCATTGATTTCCTCTTTATGGACTTATTTTTGAGAGACGGGACTGATTTGTCCAGGTTTCAGATAAACATTTGTATCAGAATCTTACTGTATGTGTTGCATTTTGGAAACATAATTTGAACCTGTGTAATAAGAAGACTATTTTGAAAATATCAAAATGTTTAATTATATTATGCCATTATTACCTGTATTCTTTTTAAATGTATCTATACTACTTGAGAAGCTAGTGATAAATTTGTTAGAATTTAAAAAAAAATTTTTTAATGTTTATTTATTTTTGAGAGAGAGAGACAGAGTATAAGCTGGAGAGGGGCAGAGAGACAGGGAGACAAAATCCATAGCAGGCTCCAGGCTCTGAGCTGTCAGCACAGAGCCCGATGTGGGGCTCGAACTCACTAGCTGTGAGATCATGACCTGAGCCAGACATGCTGCCAACTGGGCCACCCAGGCACCCCAATTTGTTAGAATTTTTGCTTTAAGGAATTGATGACAAGATTTTTCTGTTAATTTTTAGATGGATACAGTCAAATTGAACCTTAGAGTCCCATGGTAACCAGAAAGTTTAAAGATATTGCTTCTCTTATGGCATCTCTGTACAAAAAGCCACAAGCGAGACTTACAACTTAAGAGATTTTCATCTCTAGCTATTTTTCCTCACAGATAAGTAAACCATATCTGAATGTCAAAGGCTGTATTTTAGTGGTAGCAATCTACTCCAAATGTACAGGTGCAAAGTAGAAAAAAACTAGGTGTTTTAGGTGTCTCAAAAAATATATATACATATATATTTATATTATGTAGATCAAACATCTGAATGAATAACTCACTTTTTCACTTTTTGTCAAACTTTAGGAGTGATGAAAAATAACAATGTACACTTTAAGAATATTGATTATAGATTCATTAATATTTTAATACATTATTCTAATTCTAAGTTTTACTCACTTATTAGGAGTGCGAAGGTCAAGGATCATTTCCTGGATATCAATTTGAATTTCAGAAGGGTTTGTATTCGGCAGTTTAATTTTAACCTGAAAGAGAAAATGAGAAGAAAAATACTTTTGTCTTGAAGAACAGTTAATTTGAAGAGGGGAGGGAAGTATGGGGAAATGAGAGCTAATATTTATTAAGTTCCAGCTATGTGTGCATGGCTAGGCCCTTTCCTCATTACAATCTTGAGATGCAGGATTACCCCCATTTTATAGATGGAGATAGTGAGATACAGAGAAGTTTAATGAGCAGCCCAAGGGTAACCATCTGTAATTGGACTAAGGTTCCTTGCCTGTAACTTTCATTGTCTGAAGGTGCATACTAGTGCACCTGCTAAGGTTGGGGACTTTCAACGGACTTTATATCAGTGGGCACTTTGAATAAAAAGTGGTTAATTTTCATGTTGGGTGTGGGTTGGTGATGCCATTTGTAGTATCCTGGTATAAACTCCTATTCCACATTTCCTAGAGAAGTGTAGGAGTCCATAAAAGTCGTTAATACAACAAGAGAAATAACAACATGATCCCTACGTACCCCACACCCACCCCCGCCTCCACACACAAGCACACACAAAATGGGACTATTTATTGGTTTGGTAAGATTTTACTTAAAAATGTCGCATCTCAATTCCCACAGGACCCAGTAATTCCACTCCTGGGTACATACACAAGAGCATTTAAAACCCAGGTGTGGTGGGGCTAGGAAGATGGCGGCGTAGGAGGACGCTGGGCTC